GTAGTACTCTTGAAAGTTATTATAGGATAATTTCATTATTAGAAGCTTAAACGACATTTCCCTATTTAAAAAAAGCTACCTTTCTGAATGAAATCTGAAGAAAACAAAAATACATCATTATTGACAGTCTTCCATCTGCTTAAGTGTAAGACAAGATACAAGCACACAAACACTGCGGTGCTCTTTATCAAACGTAGTAGACGACGTTTTAAAATAATATTCTATAAGAATCATAGATTTGATACCACTATATGTGAATATCTATAATAAAAAGTTGCTGAAATATAAATGGGAAGTTTTCAGTTTATCTTTCATTTTATATTTTAGGCTACAAACCACCTCATCGCAATACAGTGCTTCATCGAGTAAAACTATTACAACGTATTCATCTCACCAAATTGGTCGATCAAATTAAAAGCAAATATTGTTACTATGTTCGTCACCATTTATCTTTTGTCAAGTCAAAACCATCGCTGCTTTCTTGTAATTACAGAAATGAATATTGGTAGCCAACGTATGTGTTGCATTGCTCATCGTTTACATTTAGTAGTTGCAAATAGTTTACTCCTATAGCAGAAAAAACAAAATAACAATAATGCTTCAAATGAATCAGGTAAAACAAAAAAACTGCTAGCACAATTCCTGTAGGAGTGAAATGCGAAAGACGGTGTAGTTGCTTTTGCTAACCACAGCAGTATTGTTTTATTGTATATATATTTTGGAACACTTTTCATCATCCTCCTTTTACTAAGTTCTTCAGAAATACAATAAGAGAGTAGTTAGTACATTGCAATAAGCCCTTATTGATACGTGATCTGGGTCGTATGTCAATAGAGTATCTCATGGTCTATGATGAGTTACTAGGGTGTCACTATAGAAGTGAAGAAATCGGGTCCAAATTTCTACACCAAATACCACATCGCTCCTTTTTGATCGTGTTTCATCAGAATTCAAAAAGAAATCAGCTTAGCATTGATTATAATCGATTTCACAATATCTGACAAATTAGAGAAATCTGTATTTGTACATTAAAAAAAAGAATTTTAATTAGTTTGAAGTCCTATCGATTTGATCGATATTTTATCAACGAATAATCCATTTTTATCTGATTTCTTACCAATTTTTTTAGATTAAAGAGATCACGTGTGTTTTATCTGCAATGTAACAATACAGAAAAACAAAAGACAACTGCTAGAATCTTTAAAATCGATACAGTACTCTGTGTTCCAGCAACTACTTAAACAGTTGAGAAAAACTCGTCGTGACAAGCATGAAGAATATAGAGTATCACTAAAGGCATTTGAAAATATTAATGAAATGATAATGCAACTTGGAAAAGCTATGATAATCCTTTATTTTTTAATATGTAGGATAATGATGATGATCGTGAGTATTACAAATTTTGAACTCGGCAATACACGTATTCAGCTGGTTCACAGAATTCTTTTTTCTTTGCTTTGTTTAGAAACTGTAAAGAATAGGTAAAAAACGATAATAGAACAAGAGTTAATTTATGCAATATCTTCCATGACACGACAGACCAGCAACAAGCACACCGTCTAATGATATAACCGACAGAGAGAATTCAAATAACGAAATTACTTTTTTTTCCTATATGGAGAGAGCTGATGGCTACTTGTAAATGTTTTGTATATGTCACAGCAAAATTGATGTTATATTAGGCGCATAATTTTCAAAACAAATAATAGCAAGGAACAAAATGACCACCTCTACTAATAATCAAATTTACTTTTTCTTTTTTACAGAATATAAATGAGGATGGTGTATTTCCAGTTGACGAATTATGTCTCAAATAGAAGCAAGATGTCCTGTCAAAAGCTGAACACTTATGAAAAATGTACATTAAAAAATAACTTGATGATGATGATTTCTCTGGATTCAAGTAGAGCAATAAATTTTATTCGTCAAAATAAATTTTTGGTAGGTCTCAGGTCAATCAGAAACTAAAATGAATCAACAGAAGTGTATCTCCGCAAGAAACTTTTTTGAAATAAATGAAAAATAAAATAGTGTACTATGTTGAAAAATTTAATGCTGACTCTAATCATATAATTTTTTCAAAGATATTGAGGAATGAAAGACGATTTTACCACCACTTCTCCTTTGAAAATGAATAATTCAAATGGATTGCTAAGTCTAAAAAAATCCCGTATGCTGATTTACTAATTCATATATTGATTTATAGAAATTTTGTAAATACTCCTGGTTTCTTGCTTCATTAAGTACTGTTTTATTTCTTCTAATATGCATGTTCACCGATATTACTGGTTTAGAGCAAAAACAAAAACCTTTTTTTCAGAACGCAATGATCTTGGATGAGAATCATGATAACCTAAGAACTTGACGTTTTATTCATAAAGATGGTTTTCCAAAATAGAGTCCTACAATTGAATCACATACTCGGCACTTAACTCGATTCGATAGCTGAGTCTGACTGTAGCCTGTAGGACCAAATTTAGCCCAGCACTGCCTAGCAACTATGCATATCTCAATAATCAATGGTAGACATCATTGTTTCAAACTGTTATTGATTTACAGATATAGAAATAGGAAAAAAATAGTTTAATCATATTGTAGCAGATTAGCATACTTGAAAACAGAGCTCTGTGGGACGTGGGATAAGTCTCAACCCATCCTAGGATGGAACGATAAAATTGACAATATAGTGGGACAGGATGGGATGGGACCGAATCAATTCACGTGTGCATCCCGTCAATTGTATATGAGACAGGGTTGTGGGTATTCTGGAGAAAAAAATAAAGGAGGTTTACAGAACCTTTTAGGCTTCTAAAAGGTTCCGGTTTATTTGGGAGTCAAGACTCTGTAAAAAGGCTCTGGCCAGGAAAACAATTTTAACGCAGATGCCAAAGGCATTTTTTATGTACAGAACCTATTTTAAATTTTCTGCTTTTGGCTAAAAAAAACAGAACTTTTCAGATGCTCAAAATGTTCTGCAAATATTCTTTATTTTTTTTTCAGAGCACGTTCACCTACATCTCGAAAAATATCGACAATAGACTTTTTCTCAAATGATTTTCTAAGATCAGCTACTCGATGAGTAGTATTTAAAGTTGTGCTTCTGATTGAATTTTTCATTGTTTATTATTGTGATAGACATGTTGCCATGCAAATCTTATTTTGAAACAGATGTTTAGTCAAATAAATGATTTAAATTGAAAATGAAAGTATAAATTCCTTGGACTTTTTTCAAATCTACTTTGAGAAAAAGAGGTTATGTTCACATGACAGAATGAGGCTGGACGGAATAGAACGATATTTTTGTCGTCTCACAGAGCTCTGCTTGAAGACAATGAATATAATCAAAAGGAAGCATAGTTTTTAATACTTATGATGATGAGTCGTATAGCGAAGTAATTTAGCACATAAGAAATATCGTTAATTATTCGAGAGGATGCAAATATGTTCCCATGAAGAAAAAGAAAACCAGTAATGCATAAAAGTTTAATTACAACATAGTTTTTTTTTCTCTTTGAGTTTAATTCAGATCCAAATATAAGATTATAGTATCCGATTAGAAGATGAAAAGTTGTATGCATAAAAAACACTCGTCGAAAACCAAATCGTATGAATGATAATTTTAAAACATTTTTCGTATCAAAATAGTTTGTTAGAAGAGAATCACAACATTAATTTCTATCAATACGATAAAAAATTTATTTATATAGTAATTTATATAAATGCAATAGTTAATAAAATATATATTAATATTGATGAGCTAGTAAATATTGATTGTATTCAACATATATGCATAACATTATTATATCATGAAATGTTGAAGAATTATTTCGATAAAATTTTTTTGTTGATTTTAAATCAAGTAATTTTTTGGTCAATTGATATTGAATACAGTTGAATTCTCTCTTGCATTAATCACTGATTAACTATTTCAATCGATATATATATATATAAATGAAGCTGTAAAATTTCACAAATGTTTAAAATGGTCAGTTAAATATTTTATATGAATTCTATATTACATTTGTTCGAACTTTTTAGTTCAACAATTTCAAAATGCATACTACACTCGATAACAAAAATTACGAAAACAAATAAACTAAAGAAAGACTTAATGAATAATTAACTAATAGCTATAATAGACTTTCTAAATATGCAAATCTTCATGAGACAAATAAAAGATACATGAAATTTGATGGATTATTTTTGAAAAATACAATTAAAAAAATGTTTAAAAAACTCACAAGATTTCATAATATTTTCTTAAAATAATGGTTATCAATGAACATTAATAATGTATAATAATTACCAATAGCCTCTCAGAGTGTGTTTTGTATTGTCTTCTAAAAAATTCTAACGAATGATCTTATATTTATAAGTAAATTTTCAAAAGGAAACTGTCTATCCCTGTTACATTTGCAAAATATCAATATGATAAGCATGCGAAGAATCATATGAGAATTTGACCATAGTATGACTCATGGCGTCTTTCATTAATGTATTGAGGGAAATAAAGCTCTTTTTAAATTTGTTTTCTTCTATAAGATACGTAAGAGATTTGGGACTTAAACAAGTGACCCTCAGTGAAAAATCCGAAAAAAAAGCAAATTTGATCATTGGAAATATTCCATGTTTGCCTTTCTGTACCGCATGTCTTATTCATGTTATTACACAGAAAAAAGTCTTGATAAGAGTTGTTGTCCAATCAAATGATGTCAAATATAACTTAGACTAAATATTACGATGAAAAATAATAATAATCAAGATATTTGTTTTGATAAAAATTGTCTTTCATACTCGTAACAAAAAATACTATCAAACTATCAAAAAGGTTAATAATATGACAACAAAAAAAAAAACATGCGTCAATGTAGAAACTGGAAAAGTCCAAACATTATTGATTGGTTGTTGTTGTTTTTTCTATTCTCCTATAAAAAGTTAATACTGAATGACAGAAAGTACTTCCTGACTATGTATTGATATCGATATGAGCGATTGATTTTATGGCTTCTACAAGCAAGTTAAACAAAGACCTTTGGACAAATATAACTCGACTTAAATTATTAACAAAACCAGACGCCCCAGTTAAATTTATACTTGAAAAAACTCCTTTTGATGATGAAGAAGACGAAGAGTGTCCCAAAGTACGAGATGAATATCTCATTAGTGGACGAATTTTACCTAATTCAAATATTTTTAAAGATGGTGCATATCGAATAGAAATGAAATTAATACCAACATATCCCATAGAACCACCAGAAGTCCGATTTTTAACACCAATCTATCACCCTAATATCACTTCAGATGGTATTTGAACATTCGTTAATAGAAATATAACTTATTACAAACATTTTATTTTCTATTGATATAGGAAAATTTTGTTATCAATTATTGAACAATGCCTCAAAGTGGAAGAAAGGAACCACTTTAGTTGAAGCTGTGCAAACTGTTGTCAAACATGTAGATAATCCTGATGCTGACTATGCTGTTAATTATGGTAGAAACGTTTTTCTATGTTTTTTTTATTTAAATTTCTTTCACTACTTTTTCCTTGATAGAAATAGGTAAAGAATATATGCAGAACAGACCAGAATTCAATCGAAAAGCCTCAGAAATGGCGAAAAAATATTCATTACCTCGTCAATGATTGTTATATTTGATATGGATATTCATGTATCATAAATATCATTTTAAATATCTTGTATTTTTTGAAAAAACTTGATTATTAAAGTATATAATTTATTTGAAATAAAAACTTTCTCATAAACAAAATTACATTTTCATTTTTTCCTGTAATTTCACAAATGAATAAGTTGAAAGATTTTTTTAGTTATTTTCGTTTTTTCTTGCAGAAAGAGAAATTCAGTAGAAATTTAAAAGACAGAAAAGGAAGTAAAATTATTTTCTTCGCTTCCTTTTTCTATTTGAAATCATAAACCATTACAAAACAAAACTTAGATGGCTTTTAAGCATTGTTGTATATGACTGAATGTCATACAATAGTCAATTTGATCTTTATACAAATGTGTTTATACTTGACTTCTATATGACTATTTAAGATGAAAATTTTCAAGCAGAATCGTATTAGTAGGAATCTAATTATAGCAAAATAAAATTGCACAATACTCTTGAAATTCTCCAATAAAATTTAGTGTCTTCTTTGGTAAGTCTTTTTTTGCGTTGGAATATTCCAGTAGAAATAAGAATGCATAAATAGAGACAACGCACGTTGTCGACTGTTATTTTTTTCTCGACAGAATGAAAAAAATTATATCGTAAGTAACAAACATTTTAAAATAGAAGTTTTTTTATGACATCATTTCAAAATCACTACTATTCTACGTAAAAATTCGTATGTATACAAAAAAAAAAAACTTTTCTTGTATATTTTGTAAAATAATACTGCCAAGCGCTTTGTCTTGTACCAAAAAAAAAACAACTATCAAAATCAACATGGTTTTTTTGCGCTTTACCTTTCATGTTTATCGTTGTTGTTGTTCTTCTGTTTTATTGCTTCTGTGAAGAACGAAACAAAAAATAATCTATATACAAACATTATTGCATATAGTGGTCGTTCGTCTACCTTTTTTTTCTTTTTCTTACCTCTTCAAATCGTAGTTATGAAACAAGTAAAAAAAAAAAAAAAGTATATTGATTTAGAAAGTGCATTTAAAATGCTGTTGTTTGTTTATCAACAAAATCGACACACGTTTTTTTTTGCCTCATATCTATTGCATCTTTAAAAGAATTCTTCTTTTTATTTTAAATATTAGTATTAAATTATTACAATCTTTTAGATTGAAAAGTAAATGGCTTCAACGCAATTAAACAAAGAACTCTACAGTAATATAACTCGACTAAAATTATTAAATGCAACTACTTCGGATCCCAAGTTTGTACTTGAAAAGTCACCATTTTCAGATGATGGTGAAGAAACTGTAGCAGCTGCTTCTTCAAGCCCACAAGAAGTCCTAATTATTGGACGAATTTTTCCAGAATCAGAAATATTTAGAGAAGGTTCATTTCAAATTGAAATGAAAGTAACACCAAGTTTTCCATTTGATCCACCAGAAGTACGTTTTCTTACTAAAATTTATCATCCAAATGTTGGAGAAGATGGTAAGAAAAAAAAATTGAAATAGATTTTTATCAAGTTCGTTTTTTTTTAGGTAAATTTTGCCATGAACTATTGAAGAAACATGCTAAATGGTCAAATAAAGTATCTTTAATTGATGTTGTTAAAGCTGTTGTACAACATATCGACAAGCCTGATATCGATTATTCACTTAGTCTTCGTTCGTTCATACTTTTTTAACTTTTGCTTTATTTTTATTTTTATTTTTCTTTGTAGAACTTGGTCGTGAATATATGGAAAATCGACCTGAATTTAATCGTAAAGCATTGGAATTTGTAAAAAAACATGCATTGCCACGCAAATGAAGATTCTATAGATTTTGCTTTTTAACGAACTGCACTTTGCTTGTTTTTGTTTTTTAATATATTACAGATTTTTTCTCATTAAATAATTTCGAATGTTATCATAGTAAATAGCAAAATCCATTACGATTTTCATCATTCAATTTTATTATAGACCTTGATTTTATTCGAAAA